TTAGGGACTCTAGTGGTAGGACAAGCGGTAATGGGTTTAAACTTAAACAGGGGAACTTTAGGTTAGATATAAGGAAGAAGTTCTTGACAGTGAGGGTGGTGAGGCACTGGAATAGGTTGCCCAAGGAAGTTGTGAATGCTCCAACCCTGGAGGTGTTCAAGGCCAGGCTGGACAGAGCCTTGGGCGACATAGTTTAGTGCGAGGTGTCCCTGCTCATGGCAGGGGGGTTGGAACTAGATGATCTTAAGGTCCTTTCCAACCCAAACCATTCTATGATTCTATACTGACATGCCAGTTAGGACTTGCCATGCATGCACATTCCCCTCCTCAAATGAGAAATCAAACATGAACTTTAGAAAGTAAGAGGTTCAAAGGATGGATATATTATCCCATTCCAATGCTTGTCACACCACAGCAGCCAGTACAGTAAAGGAGCTCCCTTTTGCTCAGACAAACCTTTGCCTCCTCCAGCATCTCTTGTGTCTCTTCTTGGGAATGACTAATGAAAACATCTCCAATTTGGTAAGGTATCAGTAACGAGTCACCATCATCAAGCATCATGATATCATCACAAGCATCTTCCAAGTTCTGAAGTTGTTTCTATTTATCAAGATATAAGAAAGGGGGTCACTGCATACTGTAAATGATTGCAATGGTAGATGATTGCAATGGGTACATTGTCATGCTATCAGTTGAATAAAACGAACTCAGTGAGTCTGTATTTTGAGAAAAAATCCTACCTGCCAGCATGATATCAACATGTTTAATAGTATAGTTCCAGAGCTGTAATTTAGCATAAGTATTAGATTCATTCTACCAATAGAAATTTCTAGTCAATACTCAGTATCTGTCATTAATAGCGTAATTAACTGTCTAGACAAGGAAAATACATATGCTCAATTTCTGTCAATGCATCAAAGGAAGAATGTAACATACAACTGCCTTACTGGTTCAAGAGGAAATAAATATGAACAATGGTAGGCAGGAAATTTCACAAACACTACAAACAGCCATTATATAGAGACAATGCTTTGTATATGACAACTGAGGGGTTCTAAGAATTGCATGCGGCAATATACTAGTAGCCTTTATTTCTCATGGCTTCTTTCTCCACTTTAACTTTCTCTATTTTCATAGTATCAGAAATCCACTATTAGAACCAAGGCATTACTTGCAGTATTCCACTGCTCCTGTTTTCTGTGTTACAGTTGAAAATTAAGTTAGGGCAATGAAGAAGCGATATTTCATACAAATATACCTTTTTCACTTCTATTTCTTCTTTCAGCTCTGTGATCCTGCTAGTATTTCTTGCAAACTTGTTAATTTTCTGTTGATCTTCAAAAGTAACATTGACATCTTCTGCAGCCTACATGGAGGAGAGGTCAAAATGAACTTAATTTCTTACATTAACTTGAATCTCACCACAAGATTACTCCTACAGATCTTCTGAAAAATAGTTTTACATTCTCCTTTTACACACTTGATCTCTTAAAAAGCATACTCAAGGACATCAGCAATACCCACATTTAGCTGGGCAGAGGCTGTAGAAACAACCAATTAAAACACCAGCTATCCATGGCATCCAAATTGTTGTTTCCTTGACAGCAGTGTCAGTTGAACCGGACACCTCTGCTCCATGATCACTGCAGGGCTGAGCATAACACATTAACATGATCCATGAGCAACATTATTTTATGCTAGTTGGTTAGCTGTGATGTGCTACAGGAGAGTCTGGCACCATCCTCTTTTGAGATATTGAGCTGCATTACGGACATTCACTCTCAAGTCTTCTCTTCTCTAGACTGAACAAGCCAAAGATGCTCCAAACTCCTGGTCGATAGAGCCAAGCTCACTACGCCAAGGCCTTAATCCACGGACAAGCGACCAGGGTGTTTCCGGCAGGGAGTAACCCGGAGCCGGCCTGACCTGGCAGCGGCCTAGGGAAAGGGACACATACACACACTCCCGGCCCTGCCGCCCGGGGGCTGAGTGAACGTCGGGCAGGCGCTCCGGGAGGCCCCTCTGCGGCGCCGGAGCGAC